TAATTTTGAAAGGGAATCAATGAAAAACATCCCATATGCTTCTGTCGTAGGAAGCCTTATGTATGCTCAGGTCTGTACTAGACCTGATATTGCATTTATTGTGGGGATGCTAGGTCGATATTAGAGTAATCCAGGTATGGACCACTGGAGAGCTGCAAAGAAAGTGATGAGGTATCTACAAGGAACCAAAGATTACATGCTTATGTATAGACATACAGACAATCTGGATGTGATTGGTTACTCAGATTCAGACTTTGCCGGTTGTGTTGATTCTCGTAAATCAACATCAGGATATATTTTTATGATGGCCGGTGGAGCTATTTCTTGGAGAAGCGCTAAGCAGACCTTGACTGCTACTTCTACCATGGAAGCTGAGTTTGTCTCCTGCTTTGAGGCTACTTCACATGGTGTATGGCTTAAGAGTTTTATTTCTGGGCTTAGAATCATGGATTCTATTTCTAAGCCATTAAGAATTTTCTGTGACAATTCAGCTGCTGTCTTTATTGCTAAAAACAATAAAAGTGGAAGTCGAAGTAAACACATCGACATTAAGTATTTAGCCATAAGAGAACGTGTAAAAGAAAAGAAAGTGGTCATTGAGCACATTAGCACTGAATTGATGATTGCTGATCCTTTGACTAAAGGCATGCCACCTCTAAAATTCAAGGATCATGTAAAGAAAATGGGACTTAGTTCCACTTTGTAATGATATTGAAACTCTTATATATTGTGAAATTTTCTCATTTATGTGCACATTATTTTGAGAAAATATATTGTTGTTGGACCAATAATAAACATAAGGTTTATTTATAAAGTAATATTACCACATTAAGATTAAGAAACTAAATACATCGTGATACATGGATGATAATACTCGCTCTTAGAGGACTTATCGCTATGATTCATGTATTTATTTCTTAAGAAAGTTGTTCGAGAAAGATTAATTCAAATTATTAAGATAAACGTATGGACCAAGTGGGAGAATATAACGGTTATTATTAAATATCTTATTTAATAATAACGTAACCGTTCTCATTAAGATTCATAATTCATTATCATGAATTTCTTCATTTATTATGGTTTAAATGATTTCAGTTTCTTATTCTCTAAACCGTTATTATTAAATTAAATATTTAATATCATTAAGTTCTTCATTATGGTCCAAACGTTACAAATTTGAATTAATTCTTGAACATTATGAGTTGGTGATGATAAATGTTCTTGATGGGAGAACATCTATATATACATTAGGATTTTGGTCCCTTGGCTCAATCATCTCTTTGAAGCGAAAGGCTTTCCTACACCATCTAAAGCGAGAGTTCTGAGCCGAGAAGAACCAAAGTTCAAGAAGAAACCTCTGCAGAAATTCTTGGCGACAATGGCTGGAGGTACGCTATTTCGTTTCCGCATTAGTTTTATTGTGTTTCTATTACAATGATTTAGAAACACAAGTTGGCTTCATTAAAATTTCTTACATACTCAGGTAAATGCTACCCTGGATTCTTCTTTCTTCAGGTTGATAAGATCCCCATCATAACAATATAATGGATAGGACTAATTCAATAAATGATAAAATAATAAACACTGAAGTTAAAGTGATAAAAAGAAAATGCAACTCAAATATGTCTGACGATGTGCAAACTTGATAGTGATAGATAATAAATAATTAACAGGCACGAGAGCTATGATGCATCAAAAAGCACATTACCACATACAGCGATAGCTGCTAGTGCATGGACTTGATTCCATTTCAATGCATTTCAGAAAAGGTTGGCTGCATCATGAAAGAAGAACTACTCAATTAGTACTCAACAGTGGCATTGACAATATATCAGAAACATTTCTGTTGCTAACTTTGTCGATTATAAATGTGGCACAGTTGTTCTAAATTGGCTGCACATGACGTGATCATGGCTTGAACTGCACAATGACCATTGTTTATTTTATAGCTTCTGTAGACCATTGAAATATGCTCTAATTAAAAGATGTCCCTGCCCTTTTGAAGGCACATTTTGCTTCCTACTGTTGGTGATCATGTACCCATAAATTTATGACACTAAGCACCTAAATACATCTTTCTAGTATTTTTACAATGGTGCAGATAGTAGAATATGTTGCAGTCCAAAGAAAATCATAAAATAATCACTGTTGATGCCTTGATGGCCACCAATAAGCATACAAACAACAATAGCAACAAATCCTAATGTCTCAACCATTCGGAGTCAATTATATAGATTGAGCTTTGTGCAAATCAATATCCTTAATTAAATAAAAACATTAAAATATTTACTTATGATTTCTAATAAAATTTTTCTAGGTCCATACCATCTTAGATAATTTTTCATCATTTTATCCCCTACCCTGTCAAGGTTACGTGTAAATGCTCTCTAATACAAATATTTTCTTTTCAACCTTTCCTATTAACTTCACATATTCTTTAAAGAATAGACCTTCAATTATCAACCTATAAAATGGTAGTGATACTTGCAGGGTACTTGGAAATGTCATAATACGTTTGTAGGTTTCTGGTCCAGCACAACAGTAGGAAGAGGAATTAATGTTTATAAGATCTCCCTGGAGGTTGAGCCTCTGGATAATCTGTATATCACAGATTCACCACATTGTCACTAAAAACGAAAATCCCCCTAATTTTGATTTATAACTTTGTCCGACTTAGGCTGTCATGTGTTGTTACTTTGGTGTTCATTTTTTTTTCGGTGGCATAGCTTGAATTATTGAAAATGGTTGATCAGGTCAATAATTAAATGTCAAATCATAGTCAGCTGACTAAGGCTTTTCCCAAACTTATGTTTCCTTTTTTTCTCTCTCTGGACCATGCTCAAGAAACCCAATAGTTCGAACCTAATAGTGAATAGATTATATTATACACTCAGTAATACTTCTAGATAGATACATGCTCCTAGAAAAGGAAACATAGAAGTAATAAACTATCTCGAGTCCCATAGCCTTATAGATGCTCTCTTTCTTGTACAAAAGAGCAGAAGAATCTAACAGTAACATCATGCCCTCTTTGAAATCAGTTTGACTAATGTTACACCTAAAAACATTTTGATACCACACCTGAACCGATTTTGGCTAACTATGGACAGCCTAGGCAAGGCAAGTCAAAACCCAAGGCACACATGGGGGGTTGTGACCAGCACCTGGGATGCCCAAAGCCTATGAACAGTCAATGGGAGGGTGCCACGTTCCATATTAGCTTTTCAATCATGCATGGTAAACTCTGTAGACAATGGATATAATTTAACTAATTAGTGGAAATCCTAGTTGGACTAAATCTTGGAACAGTCCAACCTTATTTAATTAAAGCATTCATATCTCCATTAAATTGTATTCCAAGGGATTCTAAATCATGGATTTAAATGTCACCTGGATTGGTACATATTGGATAATATGCAGTTATGCACAGGTCCAATGCAATATGGGCATGCAGACTGCCCTATACTTCGTTGTCCGGCAAAAAGCCAGGCCTTACTGCCCAGTTTAGAACATAAACCAGGCCTGAACTAGGTGAAAAGCTCACCTGTGGCGACCAGACTCTGAATAGTAAATACATCTTTCTAATATTTTTACAATGGTGCAGATTGTAGAATATGTTGCAATACAAAGAAAATCATAAAATAATTGCTGTTGATGCCTTGATGGCCACCAATAAGCATACAAACAACAATAGCAACAAATCCTAATGTCTCAACCATTTGGAGTCAATTATATAGATTGAGCTTTGTGCAAATCAATATCCTTAATTAAATAAAAAAATTAAAATATTTACTTATGATTTCTAATAAAATTTTTCTAGGTCCATACCATCTTAGATAATTTTTCATCATTTTATCCCCTACCCTGTCGTAAATGCTCTCTAATACAAATATTTTCTTTTCAACCTTTCCTATTAACTTCAAACATTCTTGAAAGAATAGACCTTCAATTGTCAACCTATAAATTGGCAGTGATACTTGCAGGGTACTTGGAAATGTCATAATACGTTTGCAAGGTTCTAGTCCAGCACAACAGTGGGATGAGGAATTAATGTTTATAAGATCTCCCTGGAGGTTGAGCCTCTGGATAATCTGTATATCACAGGTTCACCATGTGTCACTGAAGAACAAGGAAAATCCCCCTAATTTTGATTTATGACTTTGTCCTACTTAGGCTGTCATGTGTTGTTACTTTGGTGTTCATTTTTTTTCGGTGGCATAGCTTGAATCATTGAAAATGGTTTATCAGGTCAATAATTAAATGTCAAATCATAGTCAGCAGACTAAGGCTTTTCCCAAACGTATGTTTCCTTTTTTTCTCTCTCCGGACCATCCTCAAGAAACCCAATAGTTTGAACCTAACAGTGACTAGATTATATTATACACTCGGTAATACTTCTAGATAGATACATGCTCCTACAAAAGGAAACATAGAAGTAGTAAACTATCTCAAGTCCCATAGCCTTATAGATGCTCTCTTTCTTGTACAAAAGAGCAGAAGAATCTAACAGTAACATCATGCCCTCTTTGCATTCAGTTTGACTAATGTTACACCTAAAAACATTTTGATACCACACCTGAACCGATTTTGGCTAACTATGGACAGCCTAGGCAAGGCAAGTCAAAACCCAAGGCACACATGGGGGGTTGTGACCAGCACCTGGGATGCCCAAAGCCTATGAACAGCCAATGGGAGGGTGCCACGTTCCATATTAGCCTTTCAATCATGCATGGTAAACTCTGTAGACAAAGGATACAATTAAACTAATTAATGGATATCCTAGTTGGACTAAATCTTGGAACAGTCCAACCTTATTTAATTAAAGCAGTCATATCTCCATTAAATTGTATTCCAAGGGATTCTAAATCATGGATTTAAATGTCACCTGGATTGGTACATATTGGATAATATGCAGTTATGCACAGGTCCAATGCAATATGGGCATGCAGACTGCTCTATACTTGGTTGCCTGGCAAAAAGCCAGGCCTTACTGCCCGGTTTAGAAGATAAACCAGGCCTGAACTACGTGAAAAGCTCACCTGTGGCGACCAGACTCTGAATAGACCTGTTAAGTCTCCTATGAATTGTACAAATGAAGGATAGTTTTTTGTATGTCCATTGATGTTTCTGATCAGATTCATAATACAGCATACATAGAAGTTTTGAATACATTTTCTTGATTTAGGATTTATAATATAGTATTCAGATTCTGCATGTGCAATTTTTGGAATGGCCAAATCCAAAGACATTTTTTAATTAGGATAAACACAGATAATTAACCAAACACAAAAATGCTCTCAGCTCCTAATAATTCTTGCTTTCAAACCCAATGTCATTTTGATTAATAACTAGTTAGGTTGGGTGTACCTCACTGTTTAAAATGTTAATCAGACTAGTGCATATCCACTGGTATTTATTGGTTCAACCAAGCACTAAGAGAACCATCCAACTCAATATACTAATTTTTCTTTATATATAATTTTATTCAGTGATATGAGCAGTACAATTAGCATACAACCTGAAATATTAACACGGCACTAGGTTAACACGGCTCCATTACACCAGCAGGCATGTTTGAAAATGGCTTTTTGGCTTATTTTGACCACCAATGGTATATTTTCAGCAGCCTAAAGTTGGTAGCTAACTTTGAACAAACATTTGTTACTTTTGAGGTTTTACAGGGATGTATATGTAAAATCATGATTTTGAGGATATATTCTAGCACTCTTCTCACTTTTGCCAGTTTTTAACCTCAACCTTCATCCCCAAAATACTTCTTCATGTTGTGCTAACATCTCAGGCTCAACCTCCAGATTTGTTTTTTTTTTTTTTTCTCTTTTGCCCAGTACCTATCTTGCCAAAGTTCTTCCTCCTCAATAGCTTTAATTTTGTCTCTGGTATCCATTAAATTTAGATAAACATCCTACCTCTTCTTTTCTTACTTTCTTATATCACTCAGCTTCTTCAACCAAGAAGCCATGATGCCTCCAAATGACACCCCTTTTTGAAGACATGATTTTAGTATACATTAAAATATTTCTTCTGGCTGGATGCACTTGTACAGCAGCAAGGTAACCTTTCCCTCCTGTTAACCTGCCTCCTAGGTTTTGCTGCAGATTTCACCTTGTCTTAGCCCCAAATATTCTCTCACCAGGATCCATGGAAATACACATTATCTTATTGTTTGTATCAAGCTGATAATTAGCAATATTATATACATGAAGTCTAATTTATTTTGTGTTGTTCTCTATTTCTGACCCCCATTTTTAAATGGCACTCCTATGTGGCCTTGCCCTTATGGTAATTCTAAATCTTATTCGTTTTGCACGTTTTTCAGAAATTAATTTCAAATGCATATGTAACTAAATGAGAAGAACCATAACAAATTTTTTACCTTTTGTTCACCCGTAAACTAAATCTAACTAAGAAAAAAAAAATGTGACTCAAAAGAAAATATTTAGTAGCACCTTTATATTCCATATACGAGAGAGCCGCAACAAAGTGAAATATGTGCAGATAAGAAGTTATCAAAGAATTGTAACAAAGTGAAACATATGCAGATGTTTCTTCTGTATTATAGTAGTTAAACATCCAGTAATTCAGTAATAGTAATCAATCTGTAAATAGCTTACCTACCTATCACTTTGTTTGTTCATTGAAGTTCCAATGTAATTCCTAAAAGAAAATGAAACAAGAACAAAAAACAAAGTCAAAACAGGTGTATCAAAATGGTATTGCAAGAAAAGAAAGATACCACATACATTGATAACTCTTCCCTTAAATCACTGCTACTAAGAGATCCAGAGATATTGTTGAAGGAAACATCTCTGCCAATCATGTCAAGGACATACATCAAAAGTTTGCACATGATATGCTGAGAATTAACAGAAATGGAATTGATGATACTTGAAGAATGTAACTAGAGATAGATGAAAACAGAAACCAAAACAGAAATTCTATCGTTCAAGTATAGATAGATTGTATCCTATGTAGACTCATTTCAGGTGTCCTATATAATTTATGCAGCTGACATAAGATCTGCTTGTGTGATGTTTGAGAATCAAATGTTCTAAAAGACTTTCAGCTGCACCCTTACTGAATTTATTCATTAAGCCCAAATGGCTACCACAACTGGGGGGGTCATATGTGACGATACGATAACAGTTTCTGAGCTCCTCACTGGCATACCATTAATGTTTCATTAAGAATTCTGGAGCTCTCCCTAGTATATTCCTTGCCACCTCGACTGAGATTTTAAGCTCCATTCTCTATTTATTAATTGATTAATTGAGATCTTAAGCTCTTTTGTGGTGAGGTATCCATGTGAAGGGATCATCCTTCATGACTAGGGAGGAGGTTGAGCACTTTTCGACATTAGTTCAAGGCTTGCCTTTGTCCAAAAGCATATGCATTAGTAAGCTGGAGAACAGGGACCTTAACCATCACAATGGATAGTCATTGTAGTAGCACATGAACACAGTCGTAGAGGTGGCATAGAGTCCATAGACTATACATGAAATGGTGATTATCCACAGAAGTCATCCACATGGAAGACTGTTTCTGTGTAGCACTTCATCTAGCATATTGTTCTTATATCAAGGATTAAAGGCTTGTCACAATTAGAATAAGGTTAATGATGGGGCTTCTTGGAGCCAAGAGGAAAGGTCTAATGTCGAGATTGTGGGAGAGAAACAAAGTGGTAATGCCAATAGCTTGTTGTACCAGTCCACACTGCTCAGTATGAAACATATGCACCAGCTAGATGGAACATCAACAATTCAATACACAAATATATATATTGTAATATGACCCAAATGTTAGACCACGGTATACCAACCGGTACAGGTGGGAACTTGTTTAATACAAGTCAGCATTGGTACAATACGTATCATATAGGTCCTGACAGAAAGTGAGAGAAACTGACAGAGAGAGGAAGATTACCTCTCTCCCTCATGGTCATCTCTCACATGCCACTCGCTGTCTCAGGTTATCACATTTTTGTCAAAAGAATCTATCAAGGTTGTGAAAATTTGGAAGTAGGAGCAAGTTCATTGTGCGCTGGACATGAAAGAGGCAAGGGTGGGGAAAGAGGCAGTTCATTCTTCATATAGCTGTTTATGAAAGTTAGATAGAACAGGTCTATATTCTACTCAAGGTCTATAATGTTGTAGTATACCACTCGGTATGGGCAGTACATACCAGTTTGATACAAGATGATACGCGGACCACCCTATATCAGGTAGCCTATGTTATATGACCCTGTATCATTCGATATGGGGTCTGTACCAGTCGAAATGATCGAAATCCGATCATTATCGACCTGTATTGGTCGGTAACGGTTGGATTTCGATTGATACCAATCAAGGGCTAGGATCGATATGATTCAAATGTTCCATTTTACTATTTGAACCACTAGAAAGGGTTTTTAAACCCTTTTTACATCCTCATTCTCTCCTCTTTCTCTCTTCTGACTTATTTGATCTCTTAGTCACTTTCTCATTTGCATATTTCTCTCATATTTGCACGCTCTTAAACTCCACAAAGCTATGATTTGTGGATTGGATCAAACTTGGAAGGCTAATTAGGGAGGATTAACACGTAAATTAGAAGAACTCTATAATCAAAGGTATATATCACTATTCTTTCCTAATTTAGATTATTTTTTGCTAATTTCAAACTAATTTATATTTATTTCTTACTTAAAAACTCTAATATATTTTTTTCTATTTTTTAGAAAGTTTTGGAGCTATTTTTTGTCATTTTCCTATGCCGTCGACATACCTCGTCGTGCCAACACATGGTACACTAGTATGGGCAGTACGTACCATACCACCAGCCCACCGGTGCACCGATTCAAACTGGTAAGGTGAATCATGATTCTACCTAATACCTATACAAAAGGTTGGAACTTATCTTAATTCAAGATTATAAAGTTGATATGGACTTATTTAACCTTCACTTATGTCTTCCATCTTTTTCATTATTGAAAATTTACTCATACCATATTTACAGTCATTGAGACAAACTGGACAGGCATAGTTTGAAATGACGGAAATAATGGTTGATAGGTTGATATTGAGCTTGAAGTTTGCAAAGAGAAAGTTACATGAGCAGGTGCAGAGTAAGGATCTCCATGGCGAGGCTTTGTTCTTGATTGTCTTTGCTTAGCATTAAGCATTACTCAGTTTTAGTACATAAAAATCAATCATTTGTTTAGTTTACTGAATAATAGATTGAAAATTAAGCAATGTAAATATTGCTAACAGTAAAGTTCTATTTAAGTTATAAGCACTTGTATAATCTAGAGCCAAGGTATACGACTGAGTTTGTGGCCTTAGCCCAATGAGAATTAGTTCTTTCCTTCTATATTTAGTCTATCCCAATTTGAATTTCAGTGGATATCAGAGTCTGAGTCATACTACATCTAAAGAACTAGCAGTGTGCAGATGTGACTTGTGAGTGTACTAGGTAAATATTATCTAGATAGCACAAAATAGGAGCTTTAAAACCAAGAGCCTACAAGGAAGCAAAAGCAGAAAAGATAAAGAATTGAAACAGCTTTGCAAAATCTGCTTCTTCTTAGGTTCTAAAATATTTCCATGTATCACTATGAAAACAGTATAAAGGAAGAAACAGAAAGCTAAAATGAGGAACAACGAAATGGTTTTTTCCTTGAATAACCCCAAGACATGTGCAATCTAAGAAAATGTAAAATCTATTGAATAATTGAACAACAAGCGTAAAGGATGAAAAAATTCCTTGATGCACCATTACTTCTAGCAGCGACTAAAAAAATGTCACATGGTCTTACCCAGAAAGACCATGTAGGATGACTTAACTCTAGAAGAGTAATAAGCAGTGCTATTATTTGGCAAATCTGGTTGGATGAGAAAAGGTTATTATATGAATTTCCTTAATCATTTGGGCTTGGCTTTTCAAAGGTCAACGAAACCTTTGGTACCAGTAAACTTAAAATTCATGATCACAAAATTATATTTAAAATTTTATGAATCATGGAAAAAATATTTATAACACCATGATAATTATATTTGAATACTCCAAGAAAGTTGTAAACAACAGAAACAAATAATCAAGCAATTATTGAACTTACACTGTAGTCAGATTTTTATTTTCAGTGAAAACTTCACTAGGAAATAAATCACTCAGCGCGTTGTTCCCCAGAAACCTGCTCCAAGACAATGAAAGAAAAAAAAGTGATGCAGGTTCAAAATGTATTTATAAATCTCAAACTTCTGTGTCAGCAACAAACATAGTTTTCAAGACAATTTTGAAGTGCTTGCAGTCAAAATGAACTTATTGTCACATATGAATTATTTACTGCAGATCATCAGGCAGCTAATGTATGCTGTTATACAAGGTTTCTTTTCTCCCTATAATGTAAATAGTTAAGTCATTCAAAATATATATCCCTATATATATACACAACCAGAACATGCACTAAAAATCAAAATAACACACCTGAAAAGTGATATGAAAACCTAAAAAGAACTGACATTTAAGAATTGTGTGCTTAATGGATCTGTATAGGCAATAATATTGGATCAGGCCACATCCGATACATTCATTTGTCAATATGAAAAGCCAGCAAAGTCATATAAAAAGCTGTAGATGTTGTGTCGTGTGTCAAGTGCAATTATTATAAAACACACAGAACTTGTAGAATTTGTAGGATGATGTATAATTATTATATTCTGAATTATGTATGTGGAGCATTGACCTTATAAATAAGCTAGCTACTTGTTTACACATTCATTTCCACAACTATAATATGCAATAAGTTTCATAATTTTAAATGCGAGCTTAACCCAAGGGTCCCAAGTTCATAAAAATGTTTAAATACTGAGTGTTCATACACAATCTTATTAATGTTGCAGGTGGATATGTAAACTGATAGTTGTGAGGACTATGAGACTAATGAGTGAGATGTATTGAGAAAGATATCTCTTTTAAGCTTTGGGACATTTGTTGTATTATGAGGAACTTTTTACTATAGTAATAATATGAATATTCAGAATTTGCACTTTCATATATGATATTGATGTCATGCTACCAACTTCCTTTAGTTTTCTAATATGATGTTATGGTTATGTGTATTTATTCAGTTTGTGTCCATATGGCACAAGATATCATGATCATAGAAAAATCATGGATATGATGCCAACACTTGACGACTCATGGAAAGCATAGTTGCCCTTCAATTCTATTCAGGGCTGGGGCATCAAACATGTTTCCAAGGAAGAACAAACTATAAATTATATGAGCACTGTATTTTAAAACTGAGGTTCTCCTTTTTTGCTACCATTTGATGTACAATGTTTAAAATTTCAAAAACCCAACTTTATTCGTTGGATTCTAGCATCCAGCGTAAATACTTACAAGATAAATTCATCATCTGACTCTTCCGTCATTCAGTTTGCAAGATTGCCCAGTCAACTTTGTCCATACAAACATATCAGATATGTATAAGCATTTAAGGAATTTTTCCTATTCCAATCAAGATTTTCAAGCCAATTATTGTTCAGCTATTTATCAATGTTCCATAATATACAACCTTTATGACTAAAATATTCTAAATGTGAAAAGAATGTGAAACTTGCCAAATAGGTAAGAAGAGAAGCTTTGTCTCAAACAATTTTATAGAAAACAGCAACTTAGTAGTAGAAATTGTTAATAGATATGCCAAGAACAAGCAAATGGTGATAGATGAGATAAATAAATTTTGAGATCCAAAACATTTTTTGGCTCACTTACAAATGAGACACCTAATTTGAATAGAGAAAAGATTAAGAAATGATAGAACTCACAGATATCGTAAGGTAGCAAGCTTTCCAAATAAGTTTGGAATAGAACCATGCAATTTGTTGAAACTTAAGTCCCTGAAAGGTAAGCTTGCATCATCTCAAAGGATCTAGAAAAATTCTCCATTCACAAACTGAATAAGAGAATTTGTTCAAAACATTAAGTAAATATTCATATCTATAAAAGTATGGTTGATGCTAAGAGATGGATATAATTGATATATTTTCATTGCTTATTAGATTTGGATGTCCATAACATGCAAAAAACTGTATGCAACTTGCAATAGTGTGTTGTCTTTTATTAGAGTATAAATTTTGTGAACATCATTATAAAAAATTGGCAATTAAAACAGTTCAGCATGATATGGCTCATGTTGACCAAAAATTCAATTCCATGGGCACAATTGCCACAAGCTTAGAGGTGGATAAAGAAATGGAGGAGCCCAAGTCAGATCCATTTGACATTGGGTTTTAACAAGATGATTGGAACTTGATGATAGACTGGCTAAGCAGAAACCAAGATGGTCTATTACTCGAAAACACAGTAGATTGATGGTGTTTATCTCAGTTTATTTTGGAAGAGACCAAGGACAACCGGCAGAATGAACCACCTCAGTATGAGGGCCAGGACCAGATGCTAAGCAATGGTCAAGTCATAGGCAGTCAGCTTTTCGTGGCCCATGGTACAACAAGTTAACCTCAATCATGCCTATAACATGGCTAGGAGAAAGGTTGGTCATAGCACTTAGTTAACTTCTTAAATATCGTTAAGGAGTAAATGTTATAGGAGCATGATCAGACCCTTTGTCCATCTAATTCCAGTATTTGTGAGGTTCCGAATGATAATACTAAGGTAAAAAGTAAGATGTCTATGAAAATAGTGGTCAAGGTTGGGGGCTTTACATTCCTAATATGAAAAATACAAAGAGACTAAGAGAGAGCATGGATTAAGAATTAATGTTTTGTTAATGCCAAGTAAGATGATGGTTATAGCACCATATCATCCATGATATTAGTTAATGCAAGGAAAAACAAACTTCATATGTTTGGTCTTAGTTTGGAATATGACATCAATAATTGGTCTTAGTTTGCTAAATAACAGTGACCATATGGCTCATCATAACTGTATAATCATGGCAATTTGACTGCTAAACCATCATTATCAACACTTAAAACTAGTTCCACGCTGGCAGTCATAGCAAGACTATTTACCTATCATACCAATAAATTAGCTAGTACCAGAACTAAACTTAGTGACCAAGATGCCATGACTTATGCTAGTTTGGTATAACAGAGGACCAGAGGCACAATCTATCAAATTCAAATATTGTGGGAGCAATATTATTCATGGGTTCTTCAAAACTCTAAGCATAATCTCCAACCATGAGATGTTGAAACCCAGACCACCCTCCCTATACAACACAATATTCCTTTAGGTGGTATAATCCACCCAATGGTAAGTCATGACTTCTATAGTGGTCATGTATTCACAAATATTTCACTTGCATATTTGTGACAGATGGGTGGTACGTGCATCATGTGCTAACTTCATGCATTGTAGAAGTTTTTATGTATTAATATATTCATAGCAGGTCATAGAAACTTTTTTTGTTCATTGTCTAAGGCAATAAAAAAACAGGGTATAATAGGGTTTTGATGGTTGAGAACTAGTTTATAAAGTAGAATACCAATTCTGTGCCAGTCCGACTGACAACTGGCATTAATACCATATCAAGATTTCAGTCCTTGACTCAAGTGACTATTAAGACATTGGCTGAACAAATCAAGACATACTAGAACATATCGTCAATATGATTGTTTTATGCTCTTTACAGCTGTCCTATTTGTAATCTATCACTCAAATTGGAGTATTTCGATTAAAGTGCTGAGGCAATCGATAACTGAATTATGTACCTACTACCAACATAGCCATGCACAACCGTAAGTCCTGATATATATGGTGATTGGTTCATAGGCAAGTCAAAGTTCTTACACAAGGACTATATAAGTTGTTTCCTCCAAAAGGGTCATATTAAGATCTCAAAGCACCCTAGACTTTCAACTAGAAATGTCATATTAAAGTGAACCTCTCAATTGTTAGGCTGGGCAAGTTAATGTGATTCCGTTAAACTAAACAATTTAAAAGAAAGTGAGAAATCCAAGTTGCTAAAGTAGATGAGCCAAAGCAAAGTAACCATGTTAACAGGAAATTAAAAGCAAATCAACCTCCAAGTTATCAATGTAGATAAGTTAAAGCAATGCAACTATCACATTGTTAAACTAGACAAAACAAAGCAGCGATCACTTCAAGTTGTTAAAGTATGTAATTGGAAACAAACTCAAATTCCAGGTCCCTAGATTGAGAACTTAAAATGTAAGATGAATCTGCACACTCCTAAATAAAAATTTTCATGTTTTCTATCACATTGATGTAGAAGTTGAAGATGGTTTCAATAAAACTGACAAAGTAACACCCATTTATTACCATAATTCTATTATTCTGTTCAAATTGAAATTATATAGATGATGGTATACCCTTTGCTGGCAATGTACCAAATTGCATGTCCCAAGCTTCCCACAATCAATTTCTAACACAGAATTAACTAGAATATTACAATCTCTCTGGTGTATTCGTCAAAGCTTAACACGTCACATAGCACAAAATTATTGCCTGTGATATGTGGCATGTGAGACTAATGGAAACAATGATGGTGACTTCACATCATGGTGTGCCTATTGCAATACCCATGAGAACCTTTTACTATTGGGCCTCCTATCAGCATATCAGTAGTGTTAGGTCGACAATGTGACAATAGAACCAATATTACTATCCAACTCAATAGTTCCACTGGTTCAACAGTTCAGATAGAACAAGCCTCAAATTATGTTGCCTAAAATACTTCAAAGCTCAAGTTATTAACAGTAAGCCTATCAAGCATTATATTCTAATAAAATCTGCCTTCCACTAAGAGGAGCATCATACACATGGACCAGATTTAATGTTAAGAAAGAAAAGCTTAGTTTCTTTATCCATTTTCTTCACTATTTTCCCATTTTAGTTTGATCCTTTAATAAATATAAAAGTTGGACTAAAAGCATGAATCAGTTTCAAAATTACTTTTCTATGTGTGAGATCTTGCTGATGATACTCATTTCACAGCATTTAACTTATATATATTAAGAGAAGAGTGACCAACATTTGAGAGGAAAATGGGACTTTGGGGTTGCATGGATAACTATATATTCACATGTACAAGTTGATCAAGATTCAGAAATGAGACAGGGTAGGAGATATGGGAACATGGTGCAAATTGATTTTACTAATTGCATTGTTGTGAAAAAATGAAAGATAAGAAGGAATTGTAGGAAGTGGCTTTATAAATAAAGAAAATAGCTTCTACTTTCCTGTAACATTATAAAATGATGCTGTAGAACATAGTCGAAGACTCAAAATGTTTAATGTGTCTAACATGTGAAAATGACTAACTCTGTACATAGGAATGTAGGTTCCATGTAGCATTACCTGCCTCTAACTGTGAAAATCTACAGAATGCATTGTGACATATTTATTGTAATTCACAGAGAAGATTTGGAAGTCCAAGTAGCATTTCTCCTCAAACATTATGAGAAATTAATTTTAGTTGTTTGTGTATTGCATTAACTATTGTCAATTCCCATTGACTTGTTAAATATCAACTATCAAATCCTATGAAAAGAAAGAATACAATATTTGCCGGATAACTTACAGGTAAGTTAGGTTGGAGAAGTTTGCAAGAAAAGGGGGAATTTCATCAGCAACTTGACAGTTTCTCAAAGAACTATAATCATAACACATCAGTAATGTCAATGGTTTCAACCGATAAATATACCAAATATTTCGTTTGAAAAAACTAAGATATGTATAACTTACAGAGTGACCAAGCTTTTCATATTCTCTAAGAATGATAAATTAGAATCTGCACCTGATAGATCACCAAGTTTTCTGAAGAAAATGGTAGTGATAAGTGAACTTGATCAAATATATCACTTAATTCTGTGCACTATCTTCTGAGATGAATAATAAAAAAAATGAAAATTGACAAGCCTCCTAGTAAAATCAATTAAAAGAATGACTACTTGCCAAAATATGGAAGAAAACAAAACAATGGCATAGACGTTCAGAAATTCATCTGAGAAACAAAGAACACAAAAATGAAAAATATGATTCAACACAGTTCAGAACAAGATGTTCTACACAGTTAATAAGTTGCTTCAAACAGCATAATACAGTTTCCTCAATACTTTACCTCACTCAAACTGTAACTCCTAGATTTATCACATTAAATTTCTTACTACTGATGGGGAAATTTACATATTAAATATGTACTAGCTATACTTTTTAGAGTTACATGGAAGGATACAGACAACTTCTTTGACAGCACAGACATTAAAAACAAGTTATAGGATTTAGTTACTAAGACCTATTTGGAAAGCAAAGACCAACTGAAATTTTGCATACATACAGAGTTTCCAGCTTTGTTAGTGCTGAGAGCTTTTTGGGGATAGGTCCTTCAAGGAATGTCCCATATATCTGTCTGTAAAGAAGAAAACATGACAAAGATATGCATGATTATGTGTATCTGGTATTTATAAGCAAACATGCACAGGTACACCAAAAATATTGGCCTACAGATCTGTGAGATTAGTAAGCTGTCCAATGGACTCTGGCAAATTTCCAGTGAAGTCATTATCAAAAGCCCATCTGCAATAAAGAAAACTCATATGAACTCCCCTATTCTTCCTTGCAGTCAATATCAAATAGGTGCATGTAGAGGTACAGAAAGGACATTTAGCATGAACACAATATTCTAGAGATGTTAGATAGATCAGATGGAAAATTACACAACGACGGGAGGTACTTACAGCGTCTTAAGACTTGTCATATTTGCCAAGTCACTGGGAAGTGGTCCACTCAATCCACTGCTGTCAATGTACCTAATGAAATGATGAACATTTAATATATCATATGCTAATACTAATATAAGTTCATTTCTATTTTTCACTTTGATATATTGTAAATATAAGCTAAAAACCAAATACACTTCTGGCAAATTGCTTTCTTTTTTTTTTTTTTTGCTTTCATCAAGTCAGGTACTAAATTATGAATCCCAAACAGATGTGATAAATTCCTAGAAATAATTCTTAGACTATGGAAACTAATATTGCAGAAATCTAAATTGATACTACACATACAATTGCTCCAGCAAGGTAAGGCTCCCAACTGTACTGGGAATGCCCCCAGAGAATCTGTTTGTACCCAAACTTCTGAAAACATCAGCATAACAATAAATTATTTCACAGAACTATTTCTTCTGATTCGGCCACCATTGCAAGTGCCAAAAGAGAGAGAGAGAGAGAGAGAGAGATCTTCTTACAGATAAGTCAAATTAGTCAGGTTGCCAATACTTGGAGTAATATTACCCGAAAATTGATTTTTGTCCAAGCTCCTAAGTGATGCATGAAAAACAAATCAAGAGTCGATCAGTATAATGGATGGAGTTACTGATTCACATAAAAGGAGGAGAAGTAACAGAAAGATTATTAAGAATTACAAGATACGTAAGCGTTTGAGTTTGTGAATGTCTTCGGGGATTGAACCATTCAAAATGTTGCGACTCAAGTTCCTGCATCCACAAACTTTAAAGCTCAGTGTGAATTCATGCTAGATGTAAGATAATTTTACAACATAACTTATGGTACAAAACGGAAGAACATACTACATAAACTAGCTAGTAAATTTCAACTAATATCTATACTACATCGCTAGCTCTGTCAACTATGCTTCGATTAAAGAAACAAAATCACGGTAAGACTCTCTCTCTCTCTCTCTCTCGCTCTCGTGATCAAGAAGAAAAAAGAGAGCTCACAAAAAAAACAAAAAGAGAGAGCTCACAGGTTGACAAGATTGGTCAGATTGAAGAGGGCATCCGGAATCCTACCAGAGACATTCATTTCAAAAACCTTCCTGCAGCCACCAGAGAACGTCATTAGGGAGGCAATAATGGTACCAAGAAGCTCGATTACCGAGAGGAGGTCCCAGGGCGAAGAGATACACTCACAATTCGATGATGCTGCAGCTGTTGTTTGGGTCGCAGCTGCAATTGATCCAGGCATTCTCACCGTCTCGCCTCCACGGTTTAAAGCGGTCGCAGGGATCAATCGACAGTAACGTCTCCCAGGTAGTTATTCTCCATCGTTTCTGAATATTTCTTAATGCTTCCTCTGAAGACAGAAATAGCAAGAACAGAAACTATAGTTAAAGATGAACTGGAAGTCGTCAAAAGAACAAACACGAGAGATCATGGAAAGAGTGGAGACTCTCGGCCGCATTTGTGTAGCTCAGCCCACCACCACCCGGGGTTATAATCGAGAAGACGAAGGCAAAGAGGAAGATGAAGAATCGCATTTGCGGCACCATCTCTCAAGTGCGCAAGAAGAAGAAGAAGAAGAAGAGATTGAAGGGTGGATTAACTCATTGCAGGGTTGACTGTAGAGCAGAATGGGAATTGGGGTTGGTTATTGATGATGGCCTTTCGGGTTGAGAGCGAGAGAGAGAGAGAGAGAGAGAGAGAGGTCGTCGTCAGGGCGGGTGGCGAGGGAAGAGTGGTCGGAAGGGCTGATTCTTTCACCGGTTTTGACCGTTTAATTGATTGTGTTTTTTTATGTATTTGTTGAGTTGGATATTTTTTTTAGTCGATAAAAATAAATGAGGAGAGCAAAACTTTCCATACCGCACACTCAGGTCGCAAGTTCCCCTGAAGCGCATCGCAGGACGCAGCTCACAAAAAAAATATACTCCATCCTTGATAAATGGATTATTTGGAAATATATATATACACATTTATTATTCTTATATAATATAGATATATATAGATATAGATATATATATATATATAATAATAATATACGAAGTCTACGGTTGACGCTTCTGTGCTAGTCAACATCAATTCATATCAGATAAAGTGGAGTGGAAAACATGCATGATGCGAGTGGCGGCTAGATTTGCTTTACCAGGTCTTCGAAGGCTACCAAAGCTCGTCTCATTCCGCATTTAATACTAAGTAGAACAAGTATATGCAAAAGACAAAATGAAAAATGTTTTATTTTACCAATTAATGGTGCTTGAGAAAATAGGTTGGTTAGATGATATTTTTTTTTTACTCTCATATATCTAAAATATCCTTTTACAGGAACTGTTCCGATATCTTTCCCTCTTTTTTTTTTTGTATTGTCTGGCTTGTAGACTTCTTCTTGACTTTGGTATAGAAAATGAGAAAAATATATACATTTTCATAAAACTCGGAGAAAATGTATTAAAATATATAATTAGATTTAAAAATAATCTTATGAAATCTTTCCAAAGCTCAAAAGAGGATATGTAAGAATATAAATCACAAATTAGTGCACGAAGAATATACACCATATACCTATGTCAGGAACAACTTCTGATCAATCACAAATCATTGCAAGGCGATACAAGGAAGGGTACAAGAGAAAATGACGACTTCCATCAAAATATTTACACTAGAAAGTTGCCAAGATGCTTAGGAAACACGATGAATCAACACTCACTTTAAGAGGCCAACAATATAATGAAGCATGAATTCCAAAGATATTCATTTACATTGTGTTTTGTTCCGTGCTAAAAGCATCTCAACATATGGGACAACCGGAATTATCAATTAAAGCAATATGAGTTGTGTTTAATTCGTTGGGGAGCAAGATGTTCTACAGAACTTCGTCTTCCTGGGGGTAAAGTCCCATGTCTGGCTCAATAGGCAAGGATGGGGGAGTCCCTGGTGGAATGCAAGCAGCTCCATTCTCTCCAGCACAGATGCATAAAGCCTCTGCCTCCCTTATAGTCCAATCAAGATCAATATTGCCACTTAGTTCATTAATAAATTTCAAGAGGGTATCAAAGTCCATCTGTTCGCCCATAATTTTCTTTCGGTGACTTTTCAGAATCGCAACACACATGTACAAGTGGAGGTGCTCTGACAAATAGTGTGTCCACAAGACCTCCCACAAATGCATAACCTGATCGTATTCAAATTCCCTACAGTTGAAAACCAACAAATAGGTGGACTCAAACAATATCATACATTTTCAATAGGTATCACATAAAAGTTGAGACAAAAAACTTGAGCACCATCTTTTCCAAATAAATTCATAAACTAAGCAAACCACAATAAGGAAAATACAGCTTAAATTGATTAAACAAAAATCATGTCCTTCGTTGCATAATCAAAAGTATCATGCACATAACTTTAAAGTTGCAAATATCAGATTACCCTCTAAACTTGAAAAATTCATGACTACACTTCCAGTTTAAAATTTTGCATGGGTATATATTAAGCAAACCACAATAAGGAACAAAAGGAAAGTGCGACACAAAGTGTAGGTATGTTAAGCCATTTCCTAAAACCAAGAAAACATTAAAAAGAACTGTCCTCTTCTGATATATAATGTGCTCAAGCTTCAGCTTCCCCTAGACAATAACAAAATTTGGTACAGCTCACACTCCAAACAACAAATCTAACAAAAAAAGGCACATCGGAAGATGCTGAACTATGTGAAGTAATTTTCAGCTCCAAGAATTTAACTCAGCATTAGTAATAATTTTCAGCTCCAAGAAGTTAACTCATCATATTTTAGTACTCAGATTTCAACTTCCAAGCCTCTCAAACAAAGATTTAACAAGATGGAAGTTGTCTGCAAATGACAAGTTCTTTGTAGTTTACATTATAAATACCAAGGGACAAATAGCCTTGTCTTGTGACTGAGGTGAACTGAGCAGCTGATACAATAAAAACAGCAAGGAAGCTCACCGTTAACTCTCTGGCAAAAGATACCAAATACTGCTCAAATGGACATTGTCTGTGCAGAAAATTACAACACTTTCTTCTGTTCTATCGTATAGATGCATTATGTATTTCAAAACCTATGTAAAACTAAAATATTTCAAGCGTTTGTTTGGTCCAGCTTGACTGAAACTTAACTCAGTGAATAATTTGACTAAATTCAGTCATGCTTAAGTTTTTGTTTTGAGTTTATTTTCTTCAATCAATTACTGTGATGGGCAAAAAACTTACCAAACATCTCATCAATAAGCAGTTGAAAATGTTTTGCCAGATTGTCACGAACGGTCGTCGCGCACCTGCAAAAACTCCGTTCAACGAACCGTTCATTGCTCTCATTTACATGTACAGCTACTTGACAGCCTGTTTTGCCTTGGTTTTGAGTCATTTTGCTTGTAAAAATGTAAGTTCGAACAAGTTGCAATGCTACAAACCGATCGCTCACCGAACCGAGCAAAACAGCCCCAAAACAACTCCGTTTTCGTGTGCCGTGGGCTGTTTTCTGCAGCCCGCCTCCGCTCGCCAAAATGTCAGCCATCTCAACCTCTTTGAACCCCCCGGGTGGCACAGGGCTGGATGGGGCTTCGGTGTAGTGTCGGGCGTTGAACAACCTTTCGTAAGTTCGCACGTTACCTTGACGGAAACTTGTCGCGCCCGGCACCCGGTGAGCAACTGTTTGTGGACTTGCAGCTGTTCGTTCAACCCTCTAAAGTTCTTGTTTTCCCCCGCTCCCTCTTTTCTCTTGTGCACGCAAGGTGCTCGCTGAATTGCTTGTAAAGCTTCCACTTTTCGCAAGACGTCGAGACTTGTCCGTCGCTCGTTCTTTCGAACTAATCAACTTTCTCTTTTACAGGTCCTTCGGGACCTACGAGAGGTTGCAAGTGGGCTGATCTTTGCGGAGCAATATCGCAAGGGCGAAGCGCGACTTAGACAACGCAAGCTAAGTTCGCGTCTTGGCCGCAAGGGTGCCTCACGCCTTAGGCAATTCCAGCTAAGACCGTGACAAGATGAAGATCCATATGTGACCCTTTCAGCAGAGCATTGGTTACAATTTGACTCCATTCTCAGAAGTCCCATAAAAAGTTACTAAAACCAGCAAAATCTTAAAAAAATAAAAAGCTCCAAAGGAAGGAAAGAAGTGAACTGAAAAGTGATGCATTAAATTGGGCAATGGTTTATGCAACAAAACATAAAGGTATCATGCATAAGAACAACCACACTCCATCAGGAAGTTGCATTGATATTAAGCATTACACTTAAATTGTACATAAAAAAATTACCTTTTGAACTGTATAAGAATCCAGCGGAAACAAAAGAAGTAATTCAAACAATCTGTCTGCTTAAAGTAGTTATGCAAAGGGCTGTCTAGAATTTCCACCAGCTGAAAAAGGCCAAAAACATGATTCATCAGAACAGAAGTATGTTAAGTTTCATATTATAATAATTTTTTTCCAAGGTAAAATAAGTCTGTAAAGGTGCAGAGGATCTTGAATTAAGCAAATGATGTATATAATATCTCTGGGATAAAAGACGAGAGAAAAGGGAGAAACTGCAAGTATTGATGCAAAATAGGTGAAAAGAAAAATTCACTCATCATCAAATAACATTTGGCCAATCCAAAACCCACCCAAACCATCTGAAGACAGGGGTCTGAGATGCTGCACCAATCAACTAAGTACCAACAGGAAGTATTCTAGAATGATGTGGATATGATAATAAATTTAGCAAAACACTGAAGCTTACCCAAGATACAGTCGAGGATTAAATTATCACATAATATGCAGGTAGGCCACTGGCATGAGAAGCACGCATGGCACTTACCAGGATGTACCATAGCCATATAGTACATACCAAGGACAATGTAAGGTTTCTATTTCAGCTTGCAAGAGAACAGCATCTTTAAATTTTACATTACTTATACACTAATTTAAATTTGACAAACTTAATTTATATTAATATACTATATCTTATATCCTACAACTTCTGCACATGGGCACAACATGTAGCTTGCATAAATACATATAACAACAATAACCCCTAGGTCTTGAATCCCTGGGGCCCACTACATGTATCTTTTTACGCCATTGAGCTAAACTAAGAGCAAGATTACAAGGAAAAGTAAGAGCTACCAATCATTTTATGTTTCCTTGAAGTTCCTTTTATCTATCTTCCTTGCACCACCGTGACTAATTTACTCACCATGCGCTGCATATAAAAGTGCAGCCAGAGGTTCTCTGACACATCCATACAACCTTAAATGATTATCTCATTGTAAACACACTCATATCCATCCATAATTGTTTGCAAATGTAAATATTTCTTATTCATCTCAGTGACACTAACCTTTTGCATGCATCATTCCTAACTGCTTAACATTTTAATTTATAAATCACAATAGAACAATGGGCCCAAAAACATCACACAATACTATCAATGTATATAACTTGCAATTGAACTGCTTGTGTGCAGCCAGAATTTGAGATCAACTCCCAATCCATTAAGGTTCTCAAAGTTAGGTTTTATGCTAACTTCAACCAGATGCATCTTAAAGTCTGTGCAAAAGATATGAACAAGAAAAGCCTACTAAAAAGCCATGAGACTAACTGGGTGATAGTTACAACCTATCTTTAAAGGTATTGGCTTCAAACACATGTACTATTTTTAGTGTGCTTGGTTAATTAAACAATGGAATGGTTTATGACATCATAACATAAGACTACTGGAAAATATTATACAAAATTGTAATTCCTATATCGGTGCCAATAGGCCCTCTAATCGCCCTCATCAAATCTATGTAGTTTTAGGTTTACTTGGTGGGATTGTATGGATTTTTTGAAACTCGATATATATTAAATTACTAGACAAACATGACTTGATTTTAACTGAGTTATGCTGGACCAATAAATACCACTAGTAATGGTTCAAGCAGTTTTGCAATCCAGGATGCCAAGATTCACAAAAAATACTAGAATCAAAGCATCCCAGATTACTAATTTCCTCTCTTCACACCCACTGTTTTGAGTGGACAATCATGGCAGCCCTTCAAATATCTGACGGCATCATGTCAACAACAAATAACATCTCAATGAGTCCAAACCACATTACAAGATAATGATAGAAAACAAAAAATGTCCACAAAAGAATCATCCAAAAGAAAACCAAATCAAGAGAGCTACTTAGTTTAGCTGAGAGCCTAAGTAAGCTCCACTGAAAGCCTGAAACCAACAAGTACAAAGATGTGCATTAATTAATTTTCTGAAACTCAACTAACCGTTAGGGTCCACTAGAGAACAAAATCTAATGCAAGTTGCTGTTAAGCATTTTAAGAACACAAACACAAAAGCCAGACAAATGGTACCAACAGAGACTGCATTGCTGGTACATACCATGTGTACTGCATGGTGCATACCAATACACATGATTAGTCCTTGGTAAAATGAACAACATAACAGCAACCACCGAGCTCATCACAAACACACAGCAGGGAGTGACCTAAGTACGATCAGAATATGATGATCTCATGGACCAGTATTGAATTTAAATTTCAGAGTCAAAAGTCCAAACATCTTCAAATACTAAAATAAGAATCAATTTACAGGCATTATTTAAAATGATAAGAGTATGAAACAGTCAGTAGCCTATGCCATTATTGAAGTCAAATCAAATACCTTAGACAATGCGAAGAGTTGGGAATGCATGCCACTCTGATCACGGTTAAAATTGGGCCCGAGACGCTCCATCAGTGCTACGAAACACCAAAAGGACTCGGCCTCATCCTTCATAACATATAATATTGGTGACAAAAAATCACTCATCCCCTATAAGCCAGCACACAATAAAGATTCTCCAGTTAGAAAAATGGACACATAAAAGTAAAGAATCTACAAATTGACAGCTTTCAATCAACTAGGGGCAACAAATAAAAGGAATCAAGCAAGAAAATAAGCATATCTAGAATAAACATAAATAAAAAATCACATAGATGTTTCATACATACACCACATTCAACAAAATATAAGTACACATTTTCCGATTGTACCAGGGGATAATATATCCTTAAGCACAAGTTCATAAAAATACAGTGACAGCTAGAGAATGGGAGGAACTTTAAAATATTGTTAAAATCTATAGTTGCCCTTCGCCATATGCTGCCTCAACAGAACATAAAATTGCATCTTATAGAACCATCATTATATTTAGTAAGAAAACAAAAGGTGATTTAAATGAAGTAGATGAATTTGCTTGTATCAAGGAAACTTGCAACCAGGGTTTAAAATCTAGGTTTAATACTAATACCAATTGATGGTCAGACCGATACATAAGGATCCATGTACAACACTCGGCATGGGTCGGTACCTTCCAGACAAGAATGAAAGTGAGAGAGAAAAGCAAGGAGAGAGAAGAGGAAAGGAGGCAGGGGAGGAGGCGGAGGAGCTGGTGATCCAAATGAAGCAATGATGAAAGAGTAGGGAGGTGGAGGCAGAGGAGGGGAGAAAGAAGAGCACATGAGAGAGAAAAAGAAAGAGTGTGTGGGAGAGAAAGAGAGAAAGAAAATAAAAAATAAAACAAAAAATAAAAAGGGAAAAAGTACAAACAGCTACTAAAAAGATAAAAAAATTATTGGTACTTATGTCGGGTTGTAAGCTTACTCTCCCATAAATAATGAGATTATAGAATGATACAGCATAAGCCAGACAACAAAATCAGATATAATCGCTCAGTCCACCTCTTGTTTAGTTCGCAACCTATAAAGTATGACCTGTACCAACCATTATGGGCGGTATAATGGTCGGTATTTAAATATTGCTTTCAACTACTCTTGTCACCTCAACTTTTTCTCTTATTTACTAATCAAAATACATGTACACACAATATAGCACACATTTCTTCCTTAATTTTTGTCGCACACCTAGATGCTAATTTTCTTCATAGTCAGGTTTGTCACTGATAAAATCAGTAGGTGAGCTTATAGGACACTACAGCATATATCAGACAAGATTGGATAAAATTGCTCAGCCTGCATCCCGTTTACTAGCTATCAGACCTATAAAGTCTGACCTATACCAACAGTCAAGCAGTATTTAAAACCTTTCCTTCAACTACTGCTGTCATCTGTTCTCTCATTTGCTAATCAAAGTACAAACACATTCCTTCTTTATTTTTTCCACCACCTAGATGCTAATTTTCTTAATAGTTAGGATTGTCATGGACATTCTCCTTGCCAAACTAAAATTTTGTTTTTGAAAATTGACCATAGTAAAAGGACAAACACATGTTTTTGAAAAGAATATAATTTCTTCCATCATATAACTTTTTATGCAAACACCTTAGCACACCATTGTGCTTAAATGGATTTGAACCAGATTTGAACCACATATGGACAAAATTGTGCAGACGAGGCGATGAAGGAGATCGCCTCTTCCGTTGCTCTAGCTGCCACCTAGCCATTACCTCCTGGATCGGGATCATCGAGGGAGGGAGGCATCGGATCGGGGACGCATCGAGGTTCTCATGATTCTCCCTCTTCTTCGAACACTCTCTCTTTCTTCTTCCTTCTCCCTCGACGCTTCTTCTTCCCTCGTCGCAGCCAGGCTGATACCGCCCGATAACGGGTGGTCACGGTCAAAATCAACCGTTACCGACCTATTTTGGGCGATAACGATTGAAATTTCAACCGTTACCGCTCGATACAACCCCGTATTGTCTGATACAGGGTTATATCAAGCGTTTCGCCCAGTAGCGAGCAGTTCGCATATCAGTCTGCTAGCAGACCGATACGTACTAGCCGGTACGAGCGATACCATTCGAAATTTAGAACCTTGGTTTATTGTATAATATAGATGAACAAAATGATGTGTTAAGATAATCAAGATGTTATGGAACAACGGCTCATGAACTCATTGGCCAAACCACATTGAAAATTTTGAGGGGTCCCATGACTGAACCTTGATAGGTACAAATAACCTGTGGAAGGAATAAGGATAGGAATACAGAGAGAGCAACAAAAAGATAAGATAGCCAGAACTGATTTGCACCATATGCACGGATAGATACCAAAAAGCGAAGGTACATTCCAAATAAATATATAATGGCCATTTAATTAAGAAAAAATGCAATTAAAATATTTGCAACTCAATAGACCTTTAGTATCAAATACAAAGCTACCTACCAAAAATGTAACAGTAGGACATTAAATATACCAGTTTTAATAACATATACCCAATGCAAACTGAAAAGATGCGGCTAATAATATAAGACATTGAAAGAGTAAAAAGTTTTATATGTGAATTAATTGTTCGAATCAAGTAACTGTAGCATTAGCATTTAAAAAATTACAACAGTATTACTTTTACCTGACAGTAACCCAGGTCAAAATTGTAGAAAGAGTAAGTCAATAGTATATCACGCAAAATTGTTACATTTGGATTGTCATCCCCTTCGTAGTAAGCAACAGATCTGTCTGTTCTCACCTTGCCAATGTCAATAACAGTTCATCAGTATAAGAAAGCTGAACATACACTAACTTCTATGTATAACTAATTCAAGTATTTGCTGAGCATCAGAATGGATCATTATTTTTACCACATCCTTATCAATAAGGCCTTTCCGTTCCCTGAATTTTGTAAATCTTTTAGCTTGCACAGCTGAGATACTCTGCACATGTACAAATAAAATTGTCCTAAAAAGTTATAAATAAATCAGTAAGAACCATATAAAAAACTTGAACAAGTTAGTAATGTTCCAATGAGACATGCAATCATGTTGCTTCTATATAAGAAAGAGATAACCTAACTACCTAAGCTTCATCACAACAAAATATTTATCAGACAAAATGCAAGATGATATCATATGTTGCCAAATTTGGCTAGTTTATGTCTAAATCTAGATTAAAATCATCAGCAATTTTATGAAATAAAAAAACAATTTATAGTTATTCCAGATTATTCTTGATGGTTCAGAATACATAAATTAATCCAGCCTACTTATAGTTATGAAGCAAGCACTTAGGAGTTAGGATACACTTGTTAAAGTAACTCGAACCAGTAAACTGTACAGCATGCTAACCTTAGGAGTTGCACCAATCCATAATAAAACTATCAATTAGCTTAGACAGTATGCATTTTTGAAAGAAGGGTATTAAAGTGATGTTGGGCATGGTTTGCAATACTGTACCATACCGCTCGGTACGGATGATACATACTAGCACAATAGAGGACTGGTATAGGTGGTACATTAGTATACCTTAATGTACCATGTGTTAGTATGCTCGGTATAGCTCGGTACATACCATACCGATAGTTGATCGGTACATCAGTACGGTGCGGTATTCGGAATCTTGATATTGGAATAGATAAGAGCTCCCGTTGGCACCATTTTTTGAAGCTCTGATCCAAATTGAATGGGATGGAGAGGGAGGATCTGCCTTCTTATATTAAATTTTATTAAATTTACCAAATCCGAATTTGTTAAATTCAGATATATTAAATTTGGGCAGGTAGGATATAGCTGAAATAGTTGGAAAATGCTAATAATTTTTTTTTAACGTTAATACATTTTCCAGCTATATCCTATATTAAATTTGGGCAGCTATATCCTATTAGCAATGACATTTTATGGTTCTTTGTTAGACATTTTGGATCGTCCCTCTCCAAGGTAGATCCCCCCTTGCCATAGTAAATTTCTCAAAGTGTGTCCGGATAGCCCAAAGCCTCGATAGTTAGCTCTCGGTCTTCTAGTCAAAAAAAACAACATCGACATAGACATATAGGTGCACTATTACGTGGTGGGGATTGCAATTTTCCATGAATTTCCCATTTTTCACTCAATGATGGAACTTTGCTTATTTTTTTTTCTTTTGAGGATCGACAAATCAAATGATATTGTTGTTTGAATTTCTGCAGCTACTTCTCCCTCTGAATCAAACTTTTTCTTGCCATAATATAATGTTCAGTTCCTATTATTATCAATGATACAGTTCGGATCCTAGATTTGGTAAATTTAATAAATTCGGATTTAGAAAATGTATTAGCATTTTCCAGCTATATCCTATTATCCTACCTGGGCATTCAGATTATCTTTGGAAAATATAATATGCCTAGCATTTGGATTTGGGCACATAAGATATAGCTGAAATAGCTACAAAATGTCAAACAAAGAACCATAAAGCTGTTCATGCAGTTCGAATAAACACTATCAGCTAGTCAACTTCACAAGAATAAATCATGGCACCAAGGAAATTACATGAGTATGCCTAGCAAGGATCTGAATATTGCTCCGATAACATTTTTACTAACCTATCAGACCACTATGGTACCAGCATAGGGGGCAGCCAAACGCATACTGCCAGGTATCACTGAATTAAATAATTAAAAGATATAAATGAACTGATATATACTGGTGTTGAGCTATACATGATTATCTTCCGATACGAGTAAGTGGTCAGACCGGAAATACTGCCCAATACATATGCTCTGACTGGTGTTTCAAATCTCAACAGCTAGTAACAAACAGGTTTGTGGACAAAGGGTTGCAAGGATCCCCCATTAAAATCTTTTTTCTTTTTAAAGTCCATCAGACTAGTTCCTTTATTTAACCAATCAACTGAAGTAACTAAAAGAACCTGTTGGAGCTAAGGATTTAATCCATTAACTTAGGCCATTTAATGACACAACCAAGGAGGGGAATGGAATGGAATGTATTTGAAGGGCATTGACAATTTTTTAAGTTTGAGTTACTACCAGAGAACTTTTCCTCTTTAGAGGGTTACCAACAGCTAAAAGGAATCTGATTTTCAGTTTTTTTTTTCATTCTCTTTCTTCCAATTTTTCTTTTTATCCTTTTCTGCTGGCAAGTTAGTGAAGACACAGCTTTAACTATGCCATGCAGACAGCAATTCATTGTAATTTGTTAGTATCACAAGCCATTCCTGAATGAAGAAAATCCTAGGTCCCAAGAGTGAATAATTTATCTGAGCATAATTTTCCATGTAGGCAAAAATCTCTTAATATCATAATCAATCAATAACATAAGTCCAAATGTTATAAGTATCTAATGTAAAAACGTAGCTTTCATATTCAATATAATGACAGAAATGACAATGGAAATTACAGATCAGTTTCTCTTCTAGAGTGCTATCTTGTATCTATATAAATGACCAGTGATAATAGTGTTGCTACTTGTTATCTGTCGGATAAAGGATTTCAATGTTAACAAAATAAACAACAAACAAAGAGTACTACAAAAGTTTGGATTAAATTATTTCTAAATATAAAGTTTTCCATAAAGAAACAGATGCAGTTCTAAGTGGAACAGTAGTATCTCCTCAGTTTCCAAGGATGCTCTGTCTGATTCCGCAATCAGCAAGACCAGGAAAAGGAATCATTGAATTGGATAATGTGCACAAATTTCGATAACAAAGAAGCATACAAACATCTGCCGGATAGATATGAAGGAAAACAAATTATGGGAAAAGATTTTCCTCAGAAACTAAACATCAATAAGGTAGGTAACAGCATGGCGCACCTGCCACTGGGATTTTATAACTTCATACTCGGATTTCTTAACTGAAGTAAGATATTCTCTCTCAGCATATGTTGAATCATACTCATGGTATCCCAGCAAGAATTTCCATACCTGCACTTCAATTCTAAATGCAATGCCCAGAAATTCATAAGCAGCTACAGTATTCAAGTTGAAGCTCATTTACAAACCTCTTTTCGTATATTCTGATCAACTCCACCATAAAATATTCTCTCTCTTAATGCTTTTGAATCAAGAATCCGTCCTTCAGAATCCAAAAAAGCAGCCCACTGCCACAAGAACCTAAAGATTAGTAATAGAATGAACCTCATATAGCAAATACTATGACACGTATTAAAACAAATTACCCATACAAATTTGGGCAATAATCAAAAACAAAAAAACTTACGCATGACAAACGCCATGTAGTATTTACATCATAGAATGTATTTCCTAGTGACAGAATAATAAAGACTGCAACTACATCCAGCATATAAGAAGTTACAAGTAATATCCCAAATTAGTTTGTAAATATACAACGATGTGATATACAAACTTCGAGAACCACATCAAGTCTGGATTAGCACTTTAGTGGAATCAAGTGATAAGCATGTTCTGAAATATCAAATTCCAAGAATTTGTTTTGGAAGTGGGCTAAATATCTGGATTTCCAAACCTTAACACAAGCAGGATACTGAAAAGGGGATTCCAGGCATCACCTGAAGAAAAACTATTTAGAACCTGTAGAAAGAGGACTCCCCATTGTGAAAATAATCAGTATGGAGCTTTGGCAGTTAACAGGTTTCAATCATGCCTATAATCTGTGCTAGGTAATCCCAATCATGGTGCACGTATACCCCAACTTGGGGTGGCTAATACCAAGCTAAGAAATGCAGTTTTGACATATCTTGGCCCATTATGGCCAATTTTTTTATCTGCCTAGTTTATTATGATCAAACTTTGTTTTCCCCACAACTTGCATTTCTGTCTAGGACTGCATAGATGGTCTTGGTGGACGTGCAAGTTTTGGTTTAAGCCAAAGCCACAGATATTAGCTAGAAACAATATGAAAAGATAAAATGTTTACTTGACTAGTTCAGCATAAAAGTCATGTATCTGACCAATTATTCTAGAGTACTCGGAATCTTAGACCAATTATTCTAAAGCAAGGACGGATGTACTGACCGAAACAGTATGGTACAGCCAGTATGTATCCATCCGGGCATGAGCTGATACACAGACCACCCCATTTCAGGTGGTCCGATTAAAATAATAAAAAAAATCAGAAAAGTGGTGGGCCCCTATGTAACTCGGCATTAAAAAAAAGAAAAAAAAAAACTTAGGGCTCGTGTGCAACTGCCTCACCACTGCTGCTTCAACACTGTTGCTTCTTCTCCTCCTCTTCTTTCTTCTTCTTCTTCCTTTTTTTTCTTCCTCCTCTACCACGTTCTCTTCTTCCTTCCTCCTTCCTGTATTCCTCCACTGCTCCTTCCTCTTCTCCCTCTTTTCCTTCCTCATCAAAACACTCATACGCACCAGCGTACCATGTGTCAGTACATCGGTACTGACTGGTACGTACCAGTCCACCAGATCACCGAGACAGGTCGGGTACCAAAAACGGCGAACCTTGTTCTAAAGTATTCAGAATCTTAGTTAAGTGAGGGGATGCAGGCACCAGTACTCTTTTGGATAGGCAAGCTTTACAGCCATTACGGCTCATTCTTAATTTGTTATCTCTTTCTTTTTCATGCAATAAGATCTGTGAGCTAGTTTGATTTTTCTAGTTAATAATTACTGGGACTTAGGAGGTTCTCTTCCTAGAATTGCTTCACCTGAATGTAATACCATAACCACATTTGGCCAAAGCACCACATGTAGTGATATCCTCCATCAAAAACAGAAACATAACGATTCTTCTAAAAGGTTAACTTTTAATAAATGACTGGTCTAGGCTTCTTAACAAATTCCACATAGTTATGATGCTGAGCCCTTTCTTCTGGAAATCAAGTTTCCCTAAAGCTTTCAAGAGAAATGGCAGATCATCGATTGGTATTTCAATCCATGAGGCTTCATTTCACCTATAAAAATTATAATAAGCATTGTCTATCAGTAGGATAAATATCGTTGTCTTCTACCTCATGACCTGACAGGACCCTTCTTGGGATTGAATGACCATGGAGGAAGATAAGATTGGGTTGTGCTACTAATCTTGTTCGTGGAAATTGTTGAGTCATTGACCACAACAATGCTAGCTTGATTAGATGGATTGTCGTTCATGCATGGTGGAATAAATTGTAGAAGTATTCTTGCTCTAGTAGGGTTGGCCACATTGTGGAAGCAGCACTCAACTTCTTTTTCCCTCAACTACCCTGCCTATTTCTATAGATCTAGAAGAATATGATATAAGCAGTGATTTAAAAAGCGCTAGGCGCCAAAAGGCGCCAAGGTCCAAAAACGCCCGAGGCGCTAGGCGCTCGCCCGAGCGAAGCGAGGCGCTAAAATATAAAAATATATAATATAATTAATAAATATATTTATTTAAAATTTTAAATAAAAATATGCTATTAAATTAAGAAAATCTAAGAGCGGCAGGAAGCAGTGGCGAGCGGCGGCAGCGGCGGGAAAGGGAAAGGGAAAGGGAACGGGAGGCGCGAGCAGCGGGAGGGCTCGCGGGAGGCGCGAGCAGCGGGAGTTCTCGCGGGAGTCACAAGCAGAGGGAAGGCTCGCGGGAGGGCTCGCGAGAGGCGTGAGCAGCGGGAGGCTCGCGAGAGGCGCGAG